CCCCCCCGAACGGAAATCCTGGGACCGCCACTGCTATATACATATCGCATCGGAGGCGTAGAATTAATCCCTTCAGGCATATGGCATTCTGATTGCTTTCGCTCCTTTTCTTGTTAGGCATGATTTAATGAATTATTTCTCGCGGCACTCTTCCTCATTGTCATGTTGATCCTTATCTGGATGTGAACATGTTCCTGGTCGATTTCTAGGAATTTTTCTTCGCCATCATAATCTTGATTCATGATGTTATTTCTACGAGATTAGTTGCGATTTTGTTCTTTATGCAGAAGTTTTATTGTTCCCTTTGAGTTGGCTTATTCGTACCGTTCATTTCCTTAGGTAAGTTTCGCTAGCGACGTAGGATGCTGCGACGAAGATCCGCGGGTGTTCCTCAGGCGTCAGGTATTGAGTAGGAATTTCGAAAATTCAAAACTGTTTGCTGAAAAATTTGCAGTTGCAGAGGGCACTACGGTAGAGGATCGACGAACTGCGTCTACGAGTAAGCTTCGTGATATTTTCAAAAATGGGGGTTCAACTTTGGACGAAGCTCTGGACGACTTTGAAATTGCAACGTATGCGCTATTGCTACCTCCTACGGCCTCATTGCGGAAAATCTTCATACGATATCTCCTGCAATTTTAAGGAAGTTAACCCAGAAGAACGCTGCTATTCAACGTCGTGGAGCTGACCGGTTCTATCAATGGGCTCATGATGGTGGAAATGCAGCGATTGATGATATTGCCGGAAGAATACGAGATCTTATGCATCTGCACGCCGATCAGCAAACAATTTTGGCTGAGGAAGTCGCCACTTACGTCCATGTAGGGCAACTACTATTTTTTGCTAAACTAAGGATAATTATCCAAGTGAAATTAACAAAGATTGGGAATTTCTGAAGATTCTCCAAAAATCCGATGCATCAAACTTGCATCAGCCTTGATAAGCCTATTGCTCAAATTAATTCTTCCACGAGTAATTCCCTATATTTCGAAGTATCAAATGTAAAATAGAAAGGCTTTCGATCGCTTCTTTTTTCCTTGTCTTGTAAACCATTAAATGCTAACCCTCGTCGATGTATT